AACGTTCAAGGTGAACGCCTTTCCATGCTGTTGAGAGCCATACCGGTGAAAAGTATAACGATGGCAGAACCGAATCGTTTTCTTCACGGCAGTACAAGAAATTAACCCGAGGCACAATTTCGGAATTAAAAGTATCTGTTTTAGATATAAAACATAATCCTGTGAATATAGGATACCTCAGCATGATGCTGCACATACGATAATGAGTAGCGCCCAAGGTCCGGGAATGCGATTGAAAAAATGCGTTAATATAGCAGTCTCCGACTTAGGGAAACGCGCGGATTCGACGAACCAGGAATAGACGGTAAACTGTATGCCTTGCAACTGAAAAACAATATTTACAAACGCGTCAAAGTCCCCGCCGTCGGTGGATCTGGCAGTAACTTAGACGATATCGTCGATACATCAAGAGCTGTCAGCAACACTCGGTACGATCTAGTCCGCAATGACGAGGATGAATGGATGATATACCCAGCGTTCAGCGGCAAGCTGTTCAACTTAAACAACGTCGAGACCACGGTCGTCGTTCGAAAAAAGCAGTATGCCCTCGTCTTCACCAAAGACAACAAATGGATTTTAACACAATCTCGAGTTGACTGGTTTCTCAACATCACGCTCGGCTCTCCCTACGTGTTCACGGAAAACAAAGACCACTACCTAAACAAAGACGTGAGTAACGGAACCCTGCTCGTGGCTTACGTCCCGACACAAAGGCGCAGTGTAATCATCAGCACAGTCTCAAGTATGGCAGCCCTAACACTATCGAGTAAACCCAGGGAGCAAAACGTGGGGTTGCAATTAGTGTCTGAATTGGACGGTGTTGTCAACATCCTGGAAAATCTACCGGATAATTCCACGCTGGTATTCCAAGTCTACCTTGGTGAACCATCACTGTGAGAAGTCGAAATCATGAAAGGAATCAAACTCCGGTGGACCAAACAACAACAATACCTTGTTTGCTCTGTTTAAGTGCGGGTGAACATCGATTCCCACACCAGTCTGTAGGGATTCACCGTGACGGTGGAAGACAAGATATCACTCACCAAAATTTTCCTACCCGACAACAAACATCTTATGGGGTTGAAGTGCACACCTGAGAAATTATCAGAAAAACAATTGGACACTATTTTATAACATTTTCATATAGACAATGAACAGTCATCATCCCAACGTCACACTCGGTGATTTAGGAGACACGGAGGGGTTCTATCTGCCTAGTGAGGAAAACACATTGTACGTCCTACATTTGAAAGACAACGTGTACGAGCGGGTGTCGTTAGCAGACTTTAAAGAGCCAGAATGGTTGATCAACATTACCCTCACTTCACCTTCATCTCTGTACAAAAGGAAAAAGGTATGTCACCGAAATTAGGAACAACGGTATCTTGCTCACGTCTTTCATTCCGAATTTTGATGATGTAAAAGTTCTACGAACACCTGGTATGGGCAACATGTTAGTTTCGAACGGGGATTCATATTTAAGGTCCGACTTACCTGAATACCAATCGCATTTTATTACTATGAAACCAAACTCAACACTCATCATAGAAGTCCTTCTCGGAAACGCTAGTAGGGTTTCAGAACGACAACTTTTATCTGGGTTGACACTACACTGGGAAAGAAAACACAATTACCAACGTTGCCATATTGTCATAGAATGGGGACCGGAACCTTCACTGATATCACCACCCTTAGTAAACCACTATGGGGTTCGTGTAGACCAAGATTTACCTATTATAGTCTCACCTTTTTACGTGTACCATAATCTAAACCTTATAAGCCTCAAATACACTGAGCAAAAACTAAATAAAACACAATTAAAAAATATCTTATAAAATATATATACACACAGGACGGGACTGTACCCAGTCTAAGAAGTAGCAAAAACACTGGAAACTGTAGACGGTTTTCGTTTGAGGCAATCATGTGACATAAAACGACAACTAGAACAAGATCGCGACATACGGGCAGCATTATGTAAGAAATACCATAGGGCTTTCAATTTCGTGGATGGGGTTGACAACACCCTTATGGCAACCAGCATGGGATTAGGAGCGGTAGGTGTCGGGTTGTTAACGACCATCGTAGCCGCACCCATAGTGCGAGGCATTGAAATAACAGCTGGGGTGTCAGGGTTGGTGGGGTTGGTGTTTAAATTTGCATCCCACAGATAACATCGTAAAGCATTGAAACACGACAAATTAGAATTCTAGCCGAAGCAAAGACGACCATATTTCCACCTCACTCACTGACAATAAAATCTCTGAGGAAGAGTTTCGTTTAGTACTCTCTGAACTCACAAAATATCACAGAATGAGATTAGGTCCAAGTCTCGTAAAAGCACTGCCATCAGTGAAGACGAGAAAAAAAAGTACATAGAACAAGGGATACAACAAGCCCAACAAGCTTTCATTACGGAAACCAAAGAAATCATAGGAGATTCACATTAAATTGTTTCGCTGAGATCAACATTATATAGTTTATTGATGTGAAAATTTATTGCTAGGACAAACAACACTTACCTCCCTGTCGAGTGATCACAATAGTGCACGTGACCAGGAAGTGTTGGCTTGAGTCATAGGCCGCATGACCAGGAAAGTGCCGATTCGAGGTCATAGTGACCAGGAAGTTGGCTGGGGATTCAAAAGTGGTATGCACACTAGCGGAGAGAGATAAGGGCCTGACCAAAGCTTTATTTCATAAAATAAGCTTTACAGAGTCTTTTGTCAGAAGCGATCTCATACCGCTATTCTTTATACTACTCGTTGCGTTCATTGATTTAAAAAAAGCTTTTGACTTTGTAAATAGAGATAAACTCTGGAAATTACTCTCATCATACGGCGTAAACAGTAGAATGTTACAAGCCATTATGAGCATATATAAAACAGTTAAATCGTGTGTCAGAGTACAATCCGTGTTAACGGAATGTTTTATTTGTCCATTTGGTTTATGGCAGGGTTGTACGTTGAGTCCAATGTTATTCTCATTGCTTATAAATGAACTTTCTGTAGAAATTGCAAGTTATGGTAAACATGGAGTCCAATTGTTTCCAGATGTACCTGAAATTCTAATGTTGTTGTTTGCGGATGATGTAAGTTTTGTGTCAGATACTATTGGTGGTCTTCAGTGCCAGCTAGACACATTAAAATCGTATGCAGATAAGTGGGGATTTACTGTAAATTTAGATAAATCTAAAGTTCTTATTTTTAGGAGAGATGGGAAATTAGCGGTTAAGGAAAACTGGCTTTATTATGGGAGAAACATTGAAACGGTAAGCAGTATTATTTTCTAGGTTTTGTGTTCACGTGTAGTTATAGTGTTAGAAAAGCGGTCTTAGAACTTTCAGCTCGTGGTAAGAAGGCTTTAATGGAGTTAACTATAAACTTAAGGAAATGAAGCGAGACATTTCAAAGGCGAGGTCCACATATTTAGACTGCTTTTCCTGAATCTTGCCAATTGGGTTGCTGTGAAAAGGGACAGAAAATAACATAAATACATTCATTGGTTTTATCTAAAAGGACAAGATAAGGTTGCTGTATATTGGCCTATTCCAAAGAAGTTTAAAAGCATCATTTTCCATGACGCACTGGACGTTCAGGGTCGTACCATGGATGGACCTCGGAGTTAAAGCCACAACCATGGCAAAGACGAAAGCAACGAGCCGTGCCATCACGTCTTTTAAGATATGCTGTATGTGCCAAGGAAGGGCATCCACTAAACAGGTGTTGGACAGTTTCTTTAAATACATTGCAAAGTTGACATTTCATTTTGATATTTTGGTTAAGATAGCGATTGTAAGTGGGAAGTGACTGATCCTGGGCAGCAAAAAGAAAGCCCTCAGTTTCACTTTTAAAACCAGCCGAACTTCATCCAGGCGAAGGTGTGCGTTGGATTGCTATTCTTTACACACGATGAAATGGTTTCTCAGAAAGTTCCTCCACAGATGACCGACTGTGGTCAGATTTGGTGAATGATAACGAAATCAACCTCAAATTTTAGATTCTGTCCAACGACCTTGGCACGCTAGAAACAGCTGTGGAATTCCTTGCTTTCATCATGTGTCTTGACATGCATCACCAGAGGATAATCCAATAAATAAATTTGTGCAAAAGTACACAATAAAATCACGAAGAGCCTCCACATTAATCAAACCCCGATCTCCCGAATTGATTGGCATATATAAACGATTAGGAGTGGGACGAGGGTGATGGGCTCTTTTATCAGGTGGATAATGATCATAGTGAACTGTACAGTGCACTATTTGAAAAGGTTTTATCATGTTATGAAGTATGTGAAGGTCTGAATGAAACAGCGGTTTGGTTGCATACATCATATTATATTATATTATTATACAGTATATAATACTTTCCACGTTCTGATTCCATGTTGAAGTCATAGTATCCCAATTGCGTAGATCGATGTTCATGCTGTTGATCACTGGATTGTCTGGTATACAGTAGCCGCCATATAGCTGGAATATTGCTGAGTGCGACAAAAAACTGAATTCACTCACCAGGCATCAATATAATAAACTATGACCAAGAATCTCTATCGTTGGATAATTGTGTAAATGAAGCCTACAGCCTCCAGTCATGGGATAATAAGGAGTAAACATGCATCTTACAATGACTTTCATGGTCAGTTCCTGTCACTAGTAGTGTGGTGGAGGTGTCTTTATTGAAGGACTGCTGTGGCAGACATAAACAACTTGAAAGAAGAGGACCTCGCAGCCCACAAGCAATTTGGTACTGTGGATGTGTTGAACGTAGGTCTTCGGTTGTGTATACTCTTTTAAGTACCTGTGTAATGATCGGAGCAAAATAGACAAGATACAAAAGAAACTTGGAGATGCAAGGCTTGCCATTTATGTTACCAAGATCTTTCTTTGTATCCAAATCTACTTGACATAGCGATTGTACAATCAGAATTGATAATCATTGCTGATGGAAGTACAGGCTTTCCAGATAACAGCAAGAAGGAATGTCAGGATTTCCTAGCACATGATACGGAAGGACCCGAACCTTGGCGACCCCGTGGACCAAGGTTGGACAATAGCAGAAGACAGTTCTTTTTGAGACATTGCCAACTGAACTATGAGATATCACAAACTTGTTTACCGTGTCACTTTGAAAACGCATAGCCGAGATTGATGTGAGGAAAAAATATAACGAGACATCAGTTGTTATTATTTATGAAAAGCACATGAAATAAGAATAGAATGTTGTCAACATGACATGCACAGCATCTTCTAAACTGAGGCACCCCCGTTATCACAGTCAGTATCTCGTGTGGCCTCCATCAGCTTTGGCACAGGCTTGGATACGTTGGGGCATAGAGTCACAGAGACGAGTGATAAAGGCCACAGGAAATGTTTTATTGCAAGGTTAGGGTGAAATCTGCAACGTTGGCTGGCGGTGGCTGACGTCTGTAAACTCGCCTCCCAAGTTCGTCCCACAAGTGTCCAATGGGGTTTAAGTCGAGTGAATAAGCGGGACAGTCCATCACAATGATTCCAGTTTGCTGAAGGAAGGCTTCTGTCACTGTTGCAGCATGGGGCCGTGCGTTGTCACGCTGGAATATCAACTGGCGTTTACGTCGTAGGTGACGGCGCAGCAAAGTAACGACTTCCGGCCTTAGAATTTCATCCATGTAGTGCTGTGCAGTGAGATGGCCCTGATGACGTGAAGATCGCACCTGAAACGTGCGTTTATTGTCCCCCAAACCATCACACTGCCACCGTCGATCTCGCTGTCTGACCCATGCATTGGCGTAACGCTTACCATGTCGCCGATAAACTCGTTCTCTTCCATCAACAAATTAAACACAGTGCCTTGACTCGTCCGAAAACGCAATTCTACGGAAAAAAAGCCGTGGTCAACACGGTAGTAACGCCGGGATCATTACCCCTTGTGTCTCAGGCGCTGTCTGACTGCAATGGGGTGGATTCGTCTCACATGCCTGTCAATTGTGTTCGCTCCTGTTGCTGTTTCCGTCCTGATGCGATCTCGGAGGTTCGCCAGTCCAATTTGTCGGTCTTGTTTAGCCGTCGTAACCGAACGTTGTTCGAGAACGGTCTGCAGCGCTTCCTCTTTGTTTATGTCTTCTGACAAGACGGCTTATGGGTTAATTGGTTCACATTAAAACGCCTGGCAAAGGCTGTCTGTGAAGTCCCTGCTTCGAGCAATCCCAGTACACTTTCCTATTCCTGTAAACTCAGTCATGGCATTGTTTCAAACCGCTTCTGTCCCATTGATGCCCTTGCCAAAATTGTATTTTTTTAAATTATGCAAAAAAACTCAAAGTGATTCAATATGTTTCGTTGTATTTCCAAAAGTGTATGACCAAAATGAATAAGTCTCATCACACTACAAAGCTTATGAAGGTATACGATACCCGTTGGCATATTGCTGTGGTTTGAAACTTTCAATGTATGCTCATGCGTGATTATTAACTTTTCGTACTTTGTGAATGAATGTGTGAATCAAAGCGACAAACCCTTTTCACATCCACAAGACATTTCGACTAAAGCAGAGTTTGTAAGCCAAAGTAGGGACTTGACAGACATCAGTTTTGTCCCTGATGGTCAAATATTCGAAATATCCTCCACATATTTACGCAAACGTTTTCTAGATAATTTATCATTGCTAGTACTTTGATATTAATATATTCTCACATTTTCGTGCACAAGAATGTATACCAGAGGCATATGACTTATTACATGTATTGACTATTTCACTAAACTTGGAGCGCACGTATAAACATTCAGGTTGTTTTTTTTATATGCTTCACCATTGAAAACACATAAATGAACAAGTTTCGAATGACCATTCTCATTTATTATTTATACCATAGTAAAGTTAATTACTTTCACCGTTAACTGAACATAAATGTAGCTTTCAAGACACATGAATGCGATATTTTGGCCCAAAGCTTTACTTCTGGTGCAATATATCCATTCAACAAATACCCATTCAAAATTTATGTCTATGCTGAATAAAAAAGATTCATGTCTTTCAATTCAGAGTTTAAAACTATTTCGAAAGTTTTTACATATTTCATGAATAATACCTGTTAGAGAAATTGTTCACGTGTCGCCATGGAAACAGGCTGGTTACCATTTTCCGTGCCTATTTTATGGGACTACAAACTTACCTTACTGAAAGGTTAGATATATTCAATCAATAAAATATAGGTTTGTGCCTTGTTATACCTCCAGTTGGAGTGCAACTCTTCCGATGAGTCTGACACCACGTCTATAAACCTGGACGTGATCATACCCCCCATCCTTCAACCCCCATCCTTCAAATTATCGACCGATTTCAGATGCTTTTTGCAAAACCATGGAACGCACGATTAATAACTCCTTTGGTACAAATATCTTCTTGCTGATATACAATGTGGTTTCTGTAAAAACAGACAGAAGTACCATTGATCATTTAGTGCGTTTAGAAACATTCCTAAAAAATGCAATAATTTATAAAGACCAAGCTATAACTTTAGATCGCAACTCACTTAAAGTGGTAAAGCATGCCAAGTTTATGGGTATAATGTTTGGTGAATATTTGACCTTTCGGTAAAACAAACACCTATTAAAAGGATAATGGGCACTTTAAACGACATGTTGGAACATGCAGTGAAGCAACTGATTCAATATTCGTTCAGTTTGAGTGAAATGAAACATTGTCAAAAACAGCGAAAAGCAAGGGTGCTGAAACACCCCAGCACCGTGTTTGATTCAAACGCCCAAACACAAAAACCTAGTGCATGTGGAAGGCAGACTGCCTGTGCAGCTTGTGGCAACTGGGTACTGGCAGTTGTGAATCGGTTACGAAGGGCTTGGAACACAACATATCGGACATTAGCCCTTGAATGTTTTTCCGGGTCTTCCAGAGCGAATCTCTGTCTAGTAGTCTGCCAGTGGCCTGGAACCTGTCCCTCAGTCTGTGACTCCACTTCTCATACGATACTCTGATTATAAACCCGTGATCAAATCTTACATACGTGATCTAATGCTAAAGAAGACACCTAAGTGGGTATAAATAAATGCCATGAAATTCAACCCACTGTCGGTTACGTCTACTTTGGATTGTCAATCCAGATTTCAAGATGTGATTATGCAATAGCTATAGCAGAGGATCCTCGGTTTTCTGTCGCTTGTTATGAAAGAATCACGGTCAAGCTTGACCTGCTTGACTGCATTGACTTTTCCATCACTGGGGATAAATATTATAGTGTCCAAACAGTAAAGGACCTTTCAAATAACGATCATTCTCGTTTAAGCTTGGGTGTTTTAAAAGAAATAGATCTCATTCATACATTCTGATGTAAAATGTGGTGTCTTTTATAAGTTAAAAGAATTGATTATTAACAGAGACTGATTGTGACTGCGCCTTCGACGGGGGTTGAAATACCGTAAAATTATATCATCCTTGAGAGAGTACGTAAGTCACGATTCATTCAAAGTATTTTGATATTTACAATCGTTTTAATAGTACAGTATGTGTCCTTACAATGTTTGGCTCAATTTCCCAACAATTGCCAACATCTGAAGATATGGTGTAAACCCATCTTGAGTATATGTTGGCAGGTTGCGAACGTAATGTAAGTCACCATGGTCTGTAGTATGGTGATCTGGCTTGAGCATATAGCCCGTTGATCTATAGCCCGTTTTCACAATGTGTCGTGTATAGAAATATCGTTTAATGGTTACGTGCCCTGTGATATTCTAGTTATTGTACTGCCCTTTGTTGATAGGAATATATATCGTTCGTTTGTATGAATACAAAACTTTCACGATATGGCTGAAATACTGCCGATGTGACATGAAATTTTAATTCACTCACACACTCATTTCCCAATGTTACCATTCACTAGAAAATCAGAACGTATATATATAGTTAGAAGTATAAAACCACATGTCTGTTATCACTTGTTTTGAACAGATTATCTTTGTTGATGAAGCAGCGACAGGCATGGCTACTCGAGACGTATTTTTGTTACTCTACTTGTGCGGAATTGTCGGTTTCTGGGCCCAAGGTAACCTCACTTTTCTCCCACTCTATGTGTTTAAATGAAATACTTCACTGGATTCATTTTATACTGTGTTGGCATAATAACAACAACGACTCAATACCGTACTATTGCTACAGATCCATGCAGTGGAACTACGAAAGTTCCAAATCTTGAGAAGCGAGACGGTGTTTACGTTATAGCAACAAGTGAGAGAGCCCTCAACGACAGGCTGCTTACAGAAGGCTGGTATGACTCCAGTGGTAAATACCTACTCAACTCAGCACCGGGGTTTCAGCATTGCGGTACTCGTTATCCAATATGGAGACAAAGTGAGTATTTTGTCTGAGTTTTTAAACATTCGATATCAAGCAATATATTTTCAGTAATTTACAAAGGATGATTAGGCGGTGGGGCAGTCTTGTGGTTAAAACGGTCCCTCGTCACTGTGTGAAGCCGATTTCTCGTGTCCCCCGCCATGATTTTGTTGGAATAGTGTTAAACAACACTCACTCACTTATTCAAAGGGTGATTGGGAGCGGTGCTTCACAGTTTATACCAGCCAGCTTTCGAACAAAAACAGCTGCAGTGGTGTCTACATTTCACAGCATTGTGAACACAGGTTTCAAAGAACAATTCATGCCGAAAAGTTCACAAGGTTAAAAGTCTTTTTACAGTTGACATGTGCTGTACATTTCGCATTTCGGTTAGTACCACATGCACTTACATGACGAATTTTCCAGCGAAGCAGTTGCAATACTTGTTTTGGGATACAACAATTTTGGGGAAAGTTCTCCTTGGGAGAAGCCAGAACATTTTTCAACGGATATATGATTGTATTTCAGAAAAGAACGGTGACACATCCACAATGTGTATTCAGATTCACAACAACAACTGTTACCTACCGTTCTACATAGAAACCAAAATGTGTGGCACGAAGGAGATATTCTATTTGAAGAAAACAATATTTTCAAGTGCATACTGTTTTGGTAAGATAATATTCTCTATGAACAGACACAAATACCTTAATACAGATAGTTCCACTTTGTAACTTTTTTATTGTATAAAGCCGGGATCAGTTACTTCCGTATTTCCTCAGATTGTGTTGAACAAGTGACATGACATACAGTGGCAAAAGTAACACTGTTTTCAAATGATTCTTTTGTTTCGTTAACTACATAGATATGACAAAATTCAACCAGCAAGTATCTGTACCCTGGTCCATCCAATTCTGTCATAGTATGTTAGCTAATCTGTCATGACATGAGTGCAAATAAATCATACTTATATGGGAGAATCTGATCATCAAAAAGAGATCATTATTCATTTGATTTCAGTTGCGATTACTTTGAAGATAAGGAAGATTCCCTATATGATAGAAATAGGCTTGTCCAAATTTTACGTTATCCAGATAGTTCCACGGTGTAACTTTATAATATAAATGAATGGAATGAAAAATATTGGGTCAGTAATATTTTGTTTACCTTGCTTGCAGGTACACCGAACATCCGTAAGTAATACGGCTTTACGTTTGTATTGCTAAAATAACCTTTTGAATATTTACATAAGAGTATATATATTGCACAGATAGATTTTTAGATTTTGTCATGATAGATACATAAAGATAAAAAAAAGTACAAAGCCTATTTCAAGCGGATATTCAATAAAACCATGACAAATTGTATAACTGAAGTAAAAATCAGGAGAAACAACCTTGCGGTTATGAGAGAGCAGTTCGATTAATAAAAATGTTATTAAACATTAACGTTATCATGTTGACCTTGTTATAGTTCCTGGGTCAGTCATACTGGTCCCTCACAGCTTATGAAAGCTCGAGGTGTTTGCATCGGGCCTTACACTGTATCTCGGGCCAATTCAGCACACATCAGATCAATACAGTCGACCTCGGGCAAATGTGACTTACCTCTGACTACGACAAGGCCAGTATGTAATCACCCATAAAGTAACATTATAACATAGCAAACTGTACACCATATAACTATGTTGGTGACTATGTGTCTGTGGTTGTTACAGCTCCAACATTTAACGTGAAACCAAACGTTACTACCCGACTCCGCAACAATAAGTATACAAGCAAGCTGGAGTTCCGTTGTGAGTTCAGCAAACACGCAGATGACGTCTTCTACACAACCAACTGGGTCGTTAACGGAGAGCTTGTCCTCAGTGAAGAACCCTTGAAGTGGAGCGGTGGAGGTGTTATAGAAACACATGCTTTGACTGAGGCTAAACTGATCAGTGTAAACATAACTCAAGTTGGATTCGAGGTACATATACAATGCAATTAATAAAAACCGGCTGTAATAGTGAGGTGAGGTGAAATGGGGTTTAACGTCGCACTTAAGAATAATTCGCTCATATGACGACGTGCATGCGTGTGTATGTGTGGCTAGACCAGCTGTTTTTGGTTATAGTGCTAGCTCATTGAGATACTATGCCGCAGTGAAGCATGAATACCCCACTCAGCCACATTATACTGACTCCGAGCCGACCAGTCCTTGTTGTACCCATTAATGTCGAGCGCCAGGCAGGGACCAACGCGTACTATATTTTAACGTTTTTTGGTTTGACACGTCCGGGGATCGAACCCGCGACCTTCCGCTCTCCCGGCGTAGGGGGTGGTTATTACAGTGAAAGTCCTCAGTGGGCAAAAAGAGTCAATATTTATGTTTGTGTGTTTTGCACTCAGCAATATTTCAAATAAACGGCAGCGGCCTGTGAATAATCGTGTCTGAACCAGACAATCCTCTCAAAAATCATGAGCATCGATATACGCAATTGAGTCAATGTTCAAGAGTTTATAGTTGTGCGGGTGATTCAACTATCGATTGTCTGCTATTAAGTTTAACTACATTAACAATATTGTTTTTCACATTTTGCACTAACTTACCATCTCTAACTTACCACAGTTGCGGTGTTCAGTCACAGCTAGCGTCGGAAATGACACAGCAGCCAGTGTTCCTGTTTTGTCAGATTCGAAGTTTATTGGAATTAAGGTAAACTGCCTCGTTGGAACTATTTGTCATCGTTTCCTTGTATCATATATTAATCATAACCTGCATCTGCATCTGCAGAGTAGCGGAGTAGCCTAGTGGTTAAAGCGTTCGCTCTTCACAACGAAGACCCGGGTTTTACTCCCCACTTGGATACAATGTGTGAAGCCGATTTCTGGTGTCCCCGCCGTGATATGGCTGGAATATTGCTAAAAGCGGCGTAAAACGAAGATGGGCGAATTGTACGTGTGAAATTGAAATTTCACTGCACACGCTTGTTGAATACCTGGGTGTACTATCAGCAAGTGGCCACCCCTCGTGAAAAATGTGACAACAAAAAAATGATCGTTTGTTTAACAACTTTTTTATTCGGGTGTCCAAAATTATGAGACAAATCATCGGATGTTGTCTGTCGATTTCATGTGACTGTGCAAAATATGGCTTTATTGCGATTAGTCGATTTTGTGTTAGTGAGCAATCCATCGGTTTAAAATGAAGTCAAACGGCCTATAACCGACATTTATGCCCTAATCATTAAAATACTCTTTACACCTTTTTTATTATGACAGTACATTTCTGAGTAAACGTCTTGTGTTATAATTCAGCTCGGAGAAAGTCTATGATCTGGGCATGTTTCAGATCTTGGCTATGTTCCATTACTTCGCTGAAACGTGAGCTCAAACGACATATTGTTTCTGAAATAAAATTTGAATGTTTTTTTTACTGTTTTACAGATATCTGAAGAATCACTTACACTATCAGAAGGAGGGTTCGCTGACATCTCCCTGCTGTTGACGGTACCATTTGGCTGTGGGACTGAAGGTCTTGGATGTGAACTCCTCGTAGAATCAGTTCACCTTGGTATGTACATATATATAGGTGATGAAATGTAATGCATTGTAATGTTATTATAGGCTCTGTGACTTGGCAGGTTGCAGCCTGTCATATTACAATCAGTGTTCATGATGCCAGACACAGAGCGAGAGTAATCATATATCTGGAATATTGCGAAGTTTAAAAACAATTACTCGATGGATGTGAAATTTCCCTTTTAATATTAATCCCGGACCTACCTTCATAACTGTCATACTTTCAGTTATCCAAAAGCAACATTAAACGATAGTTGGTGTGTGTGTGTGTGTGTGTGTGTGTGTGTGTGTGAGCGTATTGTAAGTGATATCAGTATCCATATTTCAGAGACAACCGCTGATTGTAACCAGTCTAGGTTGGCAAGTTCATCTTGTGGAACAGTTTTTTCGGATACGAAATGGAATAAAGCTGCCACAATCAGGGTATTTGGTCAAGTGTCTCAGACCCTTGGCTCGGCAAGTACTATGTTGAAAGTGAAGATGGTCACCCCTGATGTGCTACCTGGCAACGAGTTTTGGGCCAGATATACTGTCGGCGTCATAACGGTAAATCCTGAATTTCTTATCACATACAGTGGGAATAAAAAGATACGTTTATGCCTATGTGTCTTATAAATCCCTTATAAAGACTTTTGTTCGATACCCCACTTGGGTACAATATGTGAAGCCCATTTCTGGTGTGCCCCGCCGTGATATTGCTGGAATATTGCTGATAGCGTCGGAAAACAATGCTCACTCAATGTAAATGATCACATCTCGTCATATGCAAGTGAATTCCTGACCTCTTATGTGAAAAGGTCAGTTCCACAGGCCGGATGGAACGTTTAGATATGAATGACGTGTGCTGTTCATTCCACGAGCTGCCTGTCCACTTACAGTCATCAACCTATCTTCCTTGCTGCAGCCACTGTATAGTCTTTCACTTAAACTGCGCAAATTGGAAACATCCTTTGCTCGCGTGCTTTGTGTCCTTGTGTATATAATGCGAGTTATGTATGGATTACTGCTTCTACTACTACTACTACTGCTATTACTACTACCATCGTCAACGTCGTATTGATGTTTGTATCGCCTGAAACCACCGCTTTAACCATCGAAACTGGCATTTCACAAACACGCTATTAAAAGACATCAGAGCTCCAGGTCTGTTGAATCCATAAATATTTTCTAAATAATTGTACATATTCCTCCTAGTAACCTATGTGTGTGTTCAGGTTCAGCTGAAAAAAGAACACAGACCCGATTGCACGGAAGTCGTGTCATGCAGTCACTGATCCACACATGCTGACATTTGACGGAAGGTAAATCTTTCTAATTATTATTTCTATTATGCTAACATTTGTATCGCGCCGCTATCCAGCTCAGCCGCTATCCAGCTCAGCTTGTTTTTCCCTCGATCACTGGATGTCAATCTCAACGGCACGTCGTATTATCAATCTCAACTCCCTGGGGAGCATACAACTCTTGCAGCCACTAGGCGCACTGAGTTAGTGTGGCTTTCCAATCCTTACGAGGTACCCATTCACATCTTGGTGGACTGGGACACATAGTCACAGCACTTTGTCCAGGCAATGCCACCATCTGGTCATATTCCAACGGATTAGCGGGTTCTTTTAAGTGCACAGGGTTGTGTACTGTTCCAATGGTTCGTGTGTGACCATGTATACCTGAGTGTGTAACGTCAGTAGCTACAATAATATTTAAACAAATACCAATCAGGTGTGAAAGAAATTTGATACACCTATTCCATGCTCATCGTGGACTGCAAGACAGAATGAGGTAAATATTTTATATTTAATCCAACCGGTGTTGAAATTATCATTTGCCTGACACACTTACATAAAAGTCAGTTGGCCTTAAGAATTCATGATATCCAATATTTAACAACGGTACCAGTTTGATTTGGCAGTATGATTCAATTTGTGAAGAGAGACCGGCAGGATTCAGACTCCCTTAATTAGCCATATGTATTAATGAAATTTTCTCCGGTAAACGACAACTACAAGGAACTCAAAGGGGGGCACTAATTTTAGTTTGCTGTAACTGTAGTTCTTTATATGCAACTCGACTAAAACAGTCAACGGTTCAAGAAAAACAGTTCACTGTATCAGTCAGTTCGTTCTACCTACATGAGTTCGTTAAAAGAGTAGTTTATTGCATGTTGAAAGGATATATTTTTTACAACACCTCTTTTGGCAGCGAAACACCTCTATTTCCATTTGTGCATGGTATCACAGCGAAATCTGATTTTCTCTTTCAGGTATTACGAACACCAATACGAAGGTACCTACACCTTGTATAAGCACAAGACCTTTCCAGTTGAGGTATGTATATACTAGTATTCAAAAGGGAAAGTTGACTAATGGAAAGTTGAAGTCACCCTTTGGTCATACTGCCTTGTGGACATGACCCATAGAATAGAGCGTGTAAGGTTAGAATAATATCAAAAGAATACAGCATTGAGTCTGTCTGTCTGTCTGTGCTCATATCTACTCATGTCGTTATTAGTGAGTGAGTTAACATTTAAAGTCTCTTTGGCAATATTTCAGCCATATCGTTACTAAAACAACATATATATTAACAATAATTAAAGATAGAGTATAAAATCCCGTCAACGAAGGACAGTAAAACAACTAGAGTATCACAGATACAAATGTAAAACTATTAATTAAATCTAAAACATTTTAACTAAAGAGGACAACACAATATAAAAATAGGCTATAGATCACCAACAACAGAAGGTAGTTCACAATACTAGGGACCATGGGGACTTACAGTACCTTTGCTACCTGCATGGACCCTAGTTGGATTTACAACATCCCTTCAACCGTTGGCGATTGTACAAAATGTTAACCAAAATTAACATAAAAAGAATACAACGTTTAAAAATGTTTAAATTGACTTTGAAAGTTTTGGGACTTACGTACCCTCTGAGGGGGACAATAATTTTACGATACTTCAACCCCCTTTAAGGATACAGCCACAAATAATCTCAGTTACTAATCCAAACTACCAATAATAACATATATATCTATTTACAAACTATTCATCAAAATGTATCTAGTAATTCTATTTCTTTTACACATTCAATAATTTAATGAAAATTATCAGTACTAAAAAGATCCTTAACAGTTTTTACATTGAAATACCTTGTGATGGAAAAATTCATGTCGTTATTAAAAAACCGATTGTGTAAATATTGTACTTATCAGGAGGTGGAAGATGAATACTACTTGCTTGTTAGTCTATTGTGTACAAATATCAGAAAAGAATACATAAAGAAATATTTCTATTTGGATCCCACGAACAGACAAATTCTATACTCTCATGTCATGCCAAATTCAAACAGTCACAAAGTATCTTGCAATGTATATATACCATGCAATGAATGTCATATCCTCTGCATTACAGATGTGATAATATTTATGATGATTATACAGTCGAACCCAAGTGTCTCGAATTCGGTTGAGACGAATTTTCGAACTCATCTCTCTATCATTGCCCATTTCCCTATATTTATTACTATTTTTACCCTCATGTCTCGAACTAGATGTGTCGAAATAGGGGTAGTGTCGAACTCATTTTAGGTCGACAAAAGCCCCAGTAAGTACAATATTACATTTTTGTCTCGAACTGTCAAAGTTGGTTCTTGCCACTGAAAACTTCATGTATTTATTTTCGTTGCACCCTTTGCTTCCCAATGTAAAATGTACTATAGGCCTCTGGCCTTTTCAGCACTATAAAAACACAAAAACCCAAAAAGGTATGTATAACTGATTAAATAAATTGACATTAATCTCTTGAGATATTATGGTGATTTACTGTTATCAGAAAAATAGGTACAGGCAATGAAATCTACAAACCTCTTTCAGGATCCATACGGAATCTTTGCCAAAGTCACAGTCGACTGGCGATATTTACCATATCATGAGCATGTGTTTATGAATAACTATCAAATAGTGATGATACCAGGTCAGTGTAGCTCGATCTACAGGTGACACATGTAGAAAACACGTGCAAGGACTAGTCAATGTTTCACCTGTAAAAATACACTCACGGGAACATATCTCACAATTAAAATAGGGAATCGTATCATCTTATATTCTTGTAACTGATGCGTCATATTTGGAAATGTTCTGCACATACATGCCAGCCATTAAGGTTTTGAAAGTTTCACAAGACCTTGAATGTTGTAAACGTGACCAAACAACTTCCAAATAAGAGTCGTATTACGCCCTTAGATATCTTGTAAAGATAACAATGCTCGACTGAACCTGAACAAGTATTAAATGTAAATACCAGGGGTTGGACCTGAAGGACTATTGCGCGACATGCAGGGAATACTGACTAAAGGAAAGTTGAAGTCACTCCTTTGGTCATACTGTCTTGTGAACATTACTCATAAGAATGGAATGTGTAAGGTTAGAATAATAGCAAAATAATACATCATTGAGTCTCTCTGTCAGTGCACATATCTACTTATGTCGTAATTAATTTACATCACGTATCAAGGAGATTAAAAGAACAATTTCCTGTTAAAGTTAAAGGATTGCTTTTTTGATGATCTTAGAATTTCGAAAGTACTACCATTTGTCATATAATGCTTTATTAGGGTTTTATCGCATGAATTGCATATTTCCTACCCATGAAACCGTATTTAACATTATGTTGATAATGAATATTGCACTCTTTAGTCTGTATTGGCTATATCATTATAGGTTCAAATACAGACAGCAGATTGTGGAGGAGGTCGGCACAATGCATGGTGTAATTGTGGAGTTGCTATACGAGCTGGCCGGACAGTGTTTGAGTTCAACAGGTGCGCACTGGGACAGCCCAGTATCTGGACAACAGAATACACACTATGTGAAGACAACGGAGATGTACTTCAAGTCAAGAAAAAGGACAACAGCTATGAGGTAATTTATGTTTTCTTATTTGTTGTATATTTCCGTTGTTTCACCTCAGGTCACATGGTGTAAATCGAAGTTGAAGAAATGCTGTCTATTAGTACTAGTTAAAGATGCAGATAATTTGATATATAAAAGTTGTTACACGTGATGCCATGTACACAACACAGGTCACTAGTCAAGTGAATGTTTTCGTTTTCGTTTTTTAACGCCTCAGTAAGCAATATTCAGTTATCGGAGGAATCCAGTTATTAGCATCATGAGAATCGATCAAGGCAATTGGGAAACTATGAAGCGCATCAACCCATGCAACAATGACAACCAATGTGCGCTGATTATGAAGACAAATTCTAACCTTTACCTTCGCCTATCTCAGGTGACGTCAAGCATAGAGCGTGCAGAGGAGTTAAATGGTTATGTATAGTCAAAACAAATAGATCACTGTTAAATAGTGATGATACCCAGTTTTAAGTATCAGCTTCCTCATCCGCAGGTGTATTTGCCAACTGGAGGAAAGGTGAAAGTTAATGTCTACGGTAACTTCATGAATGTGTACATCTACCCGTCAGTCCAAGACGAGAATCAAAGTCTGGGTCTGTGTGGGACACTGACTGGAAACTGCAGCGACGACTTTGTCCTCAGGAACGGCACCTACTCCACTGATAACACATCTACGGGTGGTTGCAACACTGCATTCAGAGTCTGGGAGAATCTTCTTACTACTTTCTCGAACTCATGGAAGTGAGACTTTCATTCGATCAAACCTGATGTTTGTTTGTCAACGCAGTCTGGAGTAGTGCAGCCACAATCACTGAATATATTAGCAGAAATCCAGAGGTTAACATTATGAGCATCGAAGAACGTCCTCTAGAAGCGATGACACACAATCAGCCATGTCAAACATCTTAATTTGTTCATTTCTTAACTTTCCTTGCACCTTTAGTAAATCCGAATGAATAACCGAAATCCGCCCGCCAATTTTATGTGGTAATTAAACAGGAATCCACATCTGAGTTTTAGAATGTAATACCATGACTGCAGATTTAAAGATTATCCTCATATATTCAGTTCACTGATCTTAAATTTCTTGGAACTTCCCTGTAGATTTTATGTTGTAGGGTTGATAATGCAAGTGACCTGTTTAATCCGGACGTTCATGCGTCGCTGTCAGCCTGGCCCAAGACAAACCTCTATTGTTCCTGTTCCCCGGATCTTGGATATGCAACAATCACGGTGGCAGTAAATTGCACTGCAGCCATTCATAAGGTGTGTAACACTCTCCCGGGCTTCATAGACGTGCTCCAAACTTCGTGCACAAATACCGGAAGACGAAGGAGAAGATCCGAAGGTGCTCGTTCGGAATCACCAAGGCGATTACGTCGGGTACGAAATC